GACTACTGTTTGGACCAATGAGATTGCAGCTATATTTCGATCATATGATAATATACTATAATTGACAAGTGAGCCATTGAATAAGATGTGATATTCACCGGTAAATGTTATATTGACCGAGGCGATAGCCTTAAATTAAAAAAGAAAAGCACGTAAAAAGTAAAGACTTAATATGAAAATTTTTTCACTTATCAATGTTCTTCTTGACAGTGGAACATTTATGCTATCATTTCTGGTTAGTTTAAATATTTTTTTTTTATATTTCAAAAAAAAAACAAATCTAAAACCCCTTTTTTAATTAATTCCTTCCTGTTTATAGTCATTTTAATTATTAATCTGATTTATAAATTTTAGAGAAAACAACCCTTTTTATAAAAAAAAAAGGGGAAAATTAAAACCCAGTGATTAATTTATTTCAAAACATAGTTCTTAAAAGCTCCCATTTTCTGAATTTTTTAATTTTAATAGTTTAATAAAGAATTTTACGCACGGCAAACTAAATTTTTCTTTGCTTGGGGATCGTTTTTGAATTTTTGGCGGGTTGGGTAAATTTAATTCAGCCACTGAATATTGGGTACTACCCCCGTGAATATAGTTTTTAATTTTTTCTGTTTCTAAAGTTTTGGGAAACCCTTGAGATTCAAGCTTTTTTTGAACATATTAAAATTTTTTAAAAGGATATTTAAGTCTGTTTGGGAAAAATATATCTCCGTTTTTAAAACCAAAAAAGGGTATATGATAATTTAATTTTTAAAAAAAAAAATGAAAATGTCAATTTTTTAAACCCCTTTTGTATTTTTCAATTTGGTTTTTATTTTCTTTAATTTTTTTAGTTTTTAAAAAATATTCAATAGAAATCCTCTGAAGGCTATGAAGAATTTTTTTCAAATATTTACGAATTTTTTGATGTCGAAAATATAATAATGCCCTGCAATAAAGTTTAACCGCTTTTTAATTGAAGCGAAGCCAAACTTTTATCATTCTATTGAAATAAATGGTTTGAACATTATTTTGAGTAGATACGGTGTGAGCAAAAGAAGATGCATGCATGTTGTTGAAAAAATGAAACCATTCAATTGTTGATGATGTACGAATGTGGTTTTGACGAAGCGCGAAGCGTGAAAACTCACTCAACAACAAAAAAGCAGTAATAGCAGAAACCAAAAGAGTGCTCAACAAAATAATAAGCATGTTATGTTTGAAATTAAAATTGGCTCGTTATTTTGAATAGATTTAATCAGTGCTGATTCCCAATACTAGGGATTTAACAACAAGTTAAATAAAAATTTATAATCATCACGAGCCATCTTATGCAATGTCTACCATTCTCATAAATTATATACGTATAAATAACTATTTCTGTCATTTTTTATATTTAGCCTGAATATAAAACAGAACTTTGGATCATTTTCATTGATCACAATTCTATTAGTATAATATTTTTTAAAAAATTGTTATTTTTACTCGGGACTTTATATCATGTACTTATCTGCAAAAGGGAAAACTTATTCCAACCTAGATATGGAAATCCAATTACTACCCAAAATTAGATGCTTATAAAATGTCAATGTCATCAGATACCACATACAATTAGCAGATATCGGCTAGCTATGATTAAAAGACAGCACCTGCGATGCCTTTATTACTTGAATTAGATAGGTCCAGACACAAATATCTGGACATGCAATTCGTCAGCCTTGTGTGGTGACGATCGGTTGGAAACACATTCCAAAAGCTCAGGAAATTATTAGAGTGCTTGATGTATTTCTTACTTTCCTTTCACATTGCGGTATTATTGTTAATCTCCAGATGGAGTGAATTTTGTAAGCAAGATAGCTACGCAGGTCTTCGTATCTCCGTAATGCAAAAATTTGGCTTTATATCATAATATTGAAATATCCGTTTCATTTTAACAGAAGTATTTTATTTAAATAATTGAACTTTGTCAAGAGTTCAATGTTATTTAGCATAGGTGTTATATATGTACCCTCAAATTTGACCACTATTATTAACAAGTTGTTCTCTTACTGATCTGCTGGGTATTTAGAATTTTCGTTTATCTTGGGATATCGCCATTTAATTCTCGATAACCTAGCGGGAGGAATAATAATGATTTTTATTTTTATTACAATCATTCTTTGTAGACGATATCTGTTTATATGTAAACGTAATGACCACCTTAATGATGTTTAAACAAAAAAAAAAACAGAAAATAGCCAAAGTGTCTAAGCGGACCAATTAGTGATTTTATACTTTCGTCATGCTTGCAATTCCTAAATGTATAACCTAGAGTCCACTGCTGAACTCCACTCTTCTCTCTTCAGATAACAATAAAATATTTCACCAACAAAACTCTTGGCTATTGTACCTTTGTTAACAAAATATGTCTGTTGGAAATTCATTGTATCCCACTAATCTGATAATCTAGAATTAGGCCTGATCAGAGATCTATGTATTTCCGGCATGGCAATCCTAATGCTGAACAATTGTTTCCTGGTTTTCTTCTTTATTGTTCTTAAGATTTATTCTAATAATTTATTGGTGTAAAATCATTGTAGTAATTGAATTGAAATATAGAAATAAACATATTAATCAGTAAAAGATCGTAGGGAAATGTTAACAATAGCTAATTGTTGATATAGAGAAGACATGAAACCTCCCATGTATTTTAACAATCCTTTTTGTGGTGCTTGCGTATAACAAAAACTACTCTCTGATTTATTGTCCAAGAAATCGTTAATTTTTCTTTAATCTAGTGTTAATAATTAATGATATCAACTGACATATACCCTCGAACGATCCAGAAATACCTCAGTACTGTAAGCACGGTATTTAAATTTACACATCCTTATTGTTATAAAGAAATCTGTTAGCTGAACATCTGTGTGATATAAGTGTAGTTGTTGCAAAAAATCTAAGTTCATTACAATAAAGACCTTTAGTAAAAAAACAAAATATATGCATTATTTGGTACTCTTGAAAACTGATATTAGGCAAATAATTAGAGACTCTGTGTACGAGTCTTGATTACGTTTTCTGATATATATTGATTTTTTTTATCGTTTTATAAAAGATTTTGTGTTTCCCTTACTATATTTTTTAAATGAACTTCGTCATGTTTTATCTGATTAACATAATAAGATACTCTCTCAAACATCCTGTTCTCTTCTGTAATATGCTTTGCGTATGATATCACGTTGAACCGGTAACGAAACTAGTTTGAATTAAACCGTAATAAATTTGTATATAGGATAGGAGTTTGCGATAGATTATTAAAAAACATAAAAACAATGTATTAAGCGATTTGTTAATTAAAATATAGCTAAACTTACCAATAACCAGGTAGTATCGGCGATTAAGTTAGCACAGCTGCAAATATTTGCCGGCTGGGTATATGTTAGATGTTTGTGTCGAAGACTGCAGGCTTGTACACTTCCAGTATAGTATTCGCAATATTCGAGATTCAACACTGTTATAAGAACCTTATTTGATACAATAAAACCTGGGTGATTATCAAAATATTGATTAATTCTTAACGAATCATCTGTAAACCAGTGTAGAATCAGATATTACATGTAATTATTGCATTTGTACATGCATGTACATGTTATAAGGGCTAAGTGTTATGATGACAAACATAAAAACATATACGACTTTTATCACGAAAGGTTTATTTTGGTAACGTAAGAAGTAGCACATGTTTTGATAACTTTAATTCGAAGATAAGAATATATCATCAGACGTTCTAAAATCAAAATAAGAAGACTGTGTGAATCAAGCTAACACCAAGTTGATGCGACTGTTAAAGAATTACGCATTGAAATATTCGAAGGGTTAGTTATACCTGCACTGTTTTATCTCAAATTATTTCCCAAAATGAATGTAGTCCAATTTGATGTTTATTTTATAAAAAAAAAGTTGCAACTTTCAACTTGTGTCGCTTGTGTCGCCCGTAGTCCAAAAAGTATTTGACCTAGAATCATGAATCTTCTAGGGATATGTAAGTCAGCATGTGAAGATGTGCACCTGAGGATTTATTTTTTGTAATTGCCCGTAGCTTATTATATACTTGCAATGTTCAACCTGCGCCGTGCATGGCCTTAAAAGTGTTTAACCTGGAGTCACGAAACTGTATTCAGAAATGTTGGCCAATATGCGTAATTGTGCACCTGGGGTTTGCTTGTGGATTTATTCAGTTTTATAAGGGTTATTGCCCTTGCTTAAGTAAACAAATAGCATTTTTTCAAATTATGTCGCCCCTTACTCGAAATTCACTTGGCTTAGAATTATGAAATTTTACAGAAGTTTTGATAAGGAAGACTTTATAAAACTTTATCCAAAAAGGTATTTAATCTAGAGTCATGAAACTGTATCTAGATGTTGCTCAGTATGCATAAGTTTGTATCTGGAGTTTGGCTTGTGGTTTTATTCAGGTTTCGTTAGAGTTATTGCCCTTGATTAAGTAAAAAATAGCCATGTTCAATTTGTGTCGCCCGTAGCCCAAAAGTATTTGACAGAGAGTCACGAGTCATAAAATGTTAGTCAGCCTGACCGTGAAGTTGTGCACCTCAACTTGTGTCACGCATAGCCCATAAAACATTTGACCTGGAGCTATGGAATTTTAACTTTACAGGAATGTTGCTCAGCATGTGAAGTTGTGCACATCGGCATTTATTCAGTATTTGAAGAGCTTTTATGTCCCCACTATAGGTGTGGAGCATTAAGACTTGTCCTTGTCCGCCCATATGTGCGTGGGTGTGGTGTCATATTGTGTCGCATGTTGCATTATTTGTAGAGTGAATTCACTCGACTTAGTTAAAACTCGCAAATTTCAGCTTGTGTCGCGAATAGCCCAAAAGGTTTTCGACCTAGAGTCATGTCACTCTACAGATGTGTAGTTGTGTACCGTTGACTTGTAAATTGATTCAATATTTTTAGAGTTAATAAGCATGAATAAATACTTTAATATCTCATACCATATCATTAAATATGTTTAATAACCCCTTTGTATTACAGTTGTTGTTGCTGCTGCTGTCAACTGTTACATGTTGATTTGTTCATGAAAGTGAAAAAGATATGTTTCGAGGAAAAGTGCATCCTGAGCCAAATCAGGTTAGGTTATAAAAAATTCATTTTCATTACAGTATATTGTGCTTGGTGAATGTGTATAAAGTTATATCTGTTGTTTGTAGTACATACTGTTATTGTCTGAAGATACTTCCAAAATACCTGTATGATAAAACATATTAGTATAAATACTCATGAGTGTATGTTGCATGCACGAAATTATTGTTTAACGGTTAAAGTCCTCATTGAAAAACAGCATACCATTTTGTTAAGGGCTATTTCATTATGTTAACGTATAAGATAACTTTGTGTAAAATGACTAAGGAATTGTATGTTAAAACTCTCTTGAAAATCGACAAAACGATAAGTGAAACAATATCATATTACCTTTCATATATTTCATTAACATTTTTCTTTTCATATAGCTTTAAAACTTTTAAAACGAATACAAAAAGATTCTTTGAATCTAGTCAATGCGTTTGTCGAGAATATTGTTAGATAAATGCTCTTGCATCTTAGAAAACATCTTTTGATAGAATGGAATTTAGAATCACCGTTTAACGTACATGTTTTTGATAATAATAATATTTTTTCAGAAATATTTTTATAATTTGTGGCTTTTGCTAGATGGTAGATGGCACTTATCTCTGTAATCAATAATGCTTGAAATATTTGTGCCCTAAATGAGAACGCAAAGCTTAGTAAAGTGCAATTTCAAAAGGAAATTACACAAATACCGCCAAAGTTTTCATTTCTTTGCAACGATTAGTTCCGGGAATATAATTGAGAGTTTGTCCTTAAGCTTATAGGATCGTACACATACAAACTAAAATAATTTCTGTATAAATTAAGCTCTGAATAAAGGTTTAGGATGATAAGGGAAATATTTGTTCTATTTTCAAAGACGGGAAACATTTTAGAGATTAAGGGGTTAATGTTAGCTTTGCATATCGTACGTTTATGTAGATGCTTAGAGGTTATTGAGACCGGATTGCTTGTAATATTTATATGTTCTTTGATCGGGGACGGGCATTAATTCCTCCGTACCTTCATAAGCTCCTGTAGGTGGGAGTTTTATCTGTTGTAACCGGTACATGGGCAGTATTAAAAGACATGCTTTCAATGATTCAAAATCAAAACTAAAAGAGTTTGTTGCTTTCAAGATTGTTAGGATACTACTCAGATGATTAATTTTATTCGAAAATCGTATTAATACCGGCATAGGGAGCAGTACCAGTACTGGTAAGAATCCAGGAAACTCCTCAACTGAGTGCCCGATTTGATACAAGAATTTAAATGCCAGTCTTTTACAAAAAGAAATGTGAAGAGTGTATTGGTTTTGACAAAATGTGAAAGAATGTCAAAGAACTCCCAACGTATGTGAAATATACTTAGATATAACCTATTCAACAATCTCATTAGACTCTTGTCAGTATTGTCCATATGCTTCACAGTCGCCGTGAGCAGATGTGTTTGTACGTACGTGTGTGTGTACGTGTTCATATATCTTTAAGAAACGTCTCTCATATGTAAGCTATTATGTTTCATGTATTTCAGGAAAGGGGGAAAGAGGTAGCTCGCACACGTTTCAGTGGCAGACGTCGTCGTCCTATTGAACAGGTTATGTCTTGTTATAATAAAGATGTCAGTATGGGAAATTTTAATGTTAATACTTCTATTACGTACTAAGCAAAACGTGTAACTCACTTTTGTATAATTATCAATATTTATATTGTACCTTACATAGGTAATTTATATAAAGCTACAATATCATGTTATCATGTCTAAACACGTTGTGTAATTCAAATTCAACAACACATAGTACATCATAAAAGAAATATTGAAAGTATTGATATTATAGTGAGGGCTTTTTTTTAAAACTGTTTTTCACCTGGCAAACTAAAACTTTACGAGGTATAAATTAACATGCAGGGAACTGAAATATTGCTGGATGACCGAAATGAACGCGGAGTGAAATTTCTATAATGAACATTTTTTGAAGTGGATCAAGTTATCATTACAATTAATAATCATTAATAATCAGTAAATAAAGTATTTCAGTCGATGATTTTGTTTTCAAATGAATAAAATGAAGGTTTTTGTTTACACTGTTTTTATCAATATCATGCATAATTTTTCAGGAAAATGTTAGAGAGGAGACCAGCGCATCTTTTCAAGGAAGTGTTCATTCAGATATAGAGCAGGTTTTATATTTTAGCTAAAAAGTTTGAACAATAAAGCAAATAAATCGCACGCATGAGTTGTTTCATACAATAGTCACTATTTAAAAATATACTATGCTCAAATTAGAAAATATTGATAATTGCTACACAATCTTTTTGTAAATAAAGAATAAACACGTTTAGACCTCACACAAATTATATATGTTATGTTTAAAATTCTTCACACTATAGGTGGTCACAATGTGAATATATACTGTCATTAAAAAAACTGGCAGTTTGTTTTTAAGAAAGGACCAACTTTACTTGTCCCGTAAAAGGGAATAGAGCTTCTCATTCATTGTTTTTAATTCTTTTTATTCAAATATATTAATTAAGAATTTTAAAGATTTCAATAAATTCCTGTGAGTAAAATATTTTACTAAAGGATCAGCATGGTATATCTTTAAATTTAAGAAAGCGCAAAGAAAATTATAAATATGTAAATTAAAACTGGATTATCATGTGGGGTTTACTTAGCACTAATGTCATTACCTAGGTAAAATTGGAAACAAAAGTAACAAACATTTAAGTTATTGGCTGTTGTGCCGTCTTTCTTTTGTGTCGTAATCCTTACTGTTGTTCTTGTCGAAATATTGAAAGTAATGGGTTTTTTCTCAAACTGTTTTTCACCAGGCAAATTAAAACTATACGTGGCATGATTTAGCATGCAAGGGACTGAAATTTTGAAATTTGGCCGACATGAAACGCGAAATGAAAACTCTGTTGAAAATGAACGGATCAAATTAACAAAATGATACGGTAACCAGTTCTGTTATTACAACCTTGCATACTGATGTTGTTGAACATATGTTGACATTTAAAATGAAAAGTAAAATTCAACAATACATAGTACATCATAAAATGTAAGATTTCCTTTAAGAGTGATTAAGTCTGGTGAGAGCATTTTCACTTTGCAGTTATTCTATTGTACTTCAATGCTGATTTTATCAAACATAACTCAACTCAATTCAAATAATTTTGTCTTGATACAAATGGATTCCAATATATTCTTAAATTCGGATAATTTAAAAATATTTGTAAATATTGGCTTCAGCAATCTCCAAAGTACTAATAATTTCTTGGTTTGAAAAAAACTATAATGCTCAAAGTAAACAATGTATTATAACGCACGCAATTAAAATTAATAAGCCAATAATTTAATCGATAGTTTATAAGTCTACATTAGGTTGTTTATCTTTAAACGCTAAATTAATTCATGATAGCATTTGAAATATGTATTTCAGTTAATGAGTTACAATCAAATAATTGAAACTATTTACAATCCACCTAGACTGACCGTTAAACGGTATGCATTTTCAAAATTGTATTTGATAGTATGTACAAATGTATAAAGAATGTATCAATCAAAAGGAAAATGATCTAATCTGTAGCGAATTTTCTACATCTTTAAACTACACTGAAATAATACAAACACTTTAAATCCATTTCTTCACTTTTAATTTTTCCTTTAACCCTTTCCCCCCATGAGCATATTGTGAAAAATGGCCATTTTCACTGAAAAGCCTCCTCTTAAAGGTTCAAACTGCTATGAAACTATGAAAATGTTTCAATACTAATAAAACTTGGCACAAATGTTGACTGGACCATTGCCTTTGTAACGACATGCTCAGTCTTAAATTTCCTGTTTCCATGGCAACGATGGGACATCTCCAAAATTGCCAAAAATCACTATTTTGCCTCGATTTTTTCCATCAAAATTTATTTCAAAGTGCTGCAACTTCTCAAGGGATTGAGATAGAGTCAAAGGCTTTTAAGCGTTGGTTACCACGTTACCTTATGATCGACCTGGGTCATTTTAAGCCTCTCACAAGTCCAAAATTTTCTTGGCGATGAGGGGGACTACCCCTTCAAACCCCCCAAACAAAAGGGGGCATCCCCCCTTCTGGCACCCCTGATGTATCTTTTGGATGAAGGGTGGCGCCGAAAAAGTGCTCACTTTTTTTTAGCAAACATTTCTCAACGCAAACATTGTGTTTGTGGCCCAAATAGGACATTTTTTTCACTATTTCAGGCCTAAAAGGGGGGGGGTCGAAAGTGCGTTGTTTCGCGTATATATGAGGTAAAGGGTTAACAAAAAAATGATGAAAAACTTTGGAATCACCCAAAATCTAGTTTTTCCATTTTTTACATGTGGTCTTTAACCTAATTTTGGTTGAAAAATTGTTATTTTGTTAACATTTATAATTTTTTTTTAGTTAACCCCTTCCCCCATGAGCATATTGTGAAAAAAATGGCCATTTTCCACTTGAAAAGCCTCCTCTTACAAAGTTCAAACTGCTATGAAACTATGAAAAAATGCTTCAATACTAATAAAACTTGGCACAAATGTTTGACTGGACCATTGCCTTTGTAACGACATGCTCAGGTTTAAATTTCCTGTTTCCATGGCAACGAGGGGACATCTCAAAATTGCCAAAAATCACTATTTTGCCTCGATTTTATCCATCAAAATTTATTTCAAAGTGCTCTGCAACTTCTCAAGGGATTGAGATAGAGTCAAAGGCTTTTTCAGCGTTGGTTACACGTTACCGTTCTTATGATCGACCTGGGGTCATTTTAAGCCTCTCACAAGTCCAAAATTTTCTTATAGCGATGAGGGGGACTCCGCCCCTTCAAATCCCCCCAAACAGAAGGGGGCACATCCCCCTTTGGCCAACCCCCTGATGTATCTTTGGATATGGGGGGCGGCGCCAAAAAAAGTGCTCACTTTTTTAGCAACATTTCTCAAACGCAAACATGTGTTTGGGGCCCAAATAGGACATTTTTTCACTATTCCAGGCCTTAAAAGGGGGATCGAAAGTGCGTTGTTTCGCGTATATATGAGGTAAAGGGTTAATGCAAAACTCCAACATTCACAATTTTAGTAATTCCTTTTCAGATTCACTTTTGCAATGACTTTTAAAAACTCTTTTACAACAACTGAACGCATTAACATCAATATATATAGCAGCCAAAAATTAACGGCAAAAGAACTTAATAATTACAAGAAAAGCATGATAATCGTGAACATTTGTGAACATGTGAATTTTTCCCACCAAAATTAAATAATGAGCAAGACGGAGTTTAGGTTTCATAGATAATATTACATAAGCAGAAATACTCAATAAAAACACTTGAAATATGAGAACTTATAGTAAAGGTTACATGAAATAAACATGCTAGATTTCGGCGGCCAAAGTTATGATTAAGGGATTAACCCTTAATTTAACCCAATTAGGACATTCGCTAGATATTTAGCGACACTCCGGGGCCAGAATGTTCAATAAACAGGAATTAATAGTTTTACTTTCACTTTGAAGTTGTTTAATCCATCTATCTGTTTAGTACAATATTCCTCCCGAATGGATTAATACGTCTCCCTATATGTATATTTCCCTTTTCGAAATATATAGCGGCAATGATCTGTGCAACGTAATGAATGTCATTCATCAATTATACAACTTACGGCTAATTTTTACCTGTAATCAATACTCATGCCAGTTAAAAATGATTTATCTGAGTCAGTTATTAAGATATGTCACTGAAAGTATTGGTTATCATGATGCAAGATGGTGTCACAGCACAACAATTACCATCAGGAACAGAAACACTATCATCATAATCTATCTTGTCGCTTGCATTGCTTTCATTGGTTTGAACATTCGAATCAAAGTCAACATAATTCTCTATGTCTTCAAGTTCTTCAACACTATTCTTATCGTTTGTAGAAGTTAAATTTGTCATTTTTTTTAATATCACCATTGCCACATTCATTATCATCATGGCCCGTTTGTCCGTGTATATCATCTATTATGTCAAATTCCAATAAATCCATTTCTTCCTCTTCAGTTAATAAATTCATTATAATAGTATCATCATCACTGACTTCAGAATAATAACTTTCATCACTTTTATCTCCTCTCTTGGCTTCAATTGCAATTGTTCTTGCTTTATATTTTTATTTATATAATTTTATGTACCTTATAAAGATGGTCAAACAGATATCCTCTTCGAATAAACTTCGTTTTGCATTTATCCATTACACATTTATATTGTAGCAGCTGCGAACTGTGTTTCTCATCTTTATGTCTTTTAAGATTACGATTATACTTATAAGATTTGTCACACAAATTCCGCTGAAATGTTTCCATCTTTACGTTTCAACAAAACTAAATGAAAGGAGCCAATTTCAAACCACGCTCTTTTTTTGCACGTTGTTTAGTTTATCACTTTTAACCTTGCTCCGGTATAAAAATGAGCGGGAAAGGTGCACGGAAGAAATCGTGACATTCTTTTAAACCATAATATGCTCCGGTAAAAGTAATGAAGCGGGGAAAAAATATGCCATGTTTAAAATTATACTGGTAATTCTACGTCGTGTATTGCTCCCAGGTTTACATTAACGTCCTAATATTTATCAAGGATATACCGTTCAGAAAATAGATTTTAAATTAGAATTTTAACTTTTGAATTACCTTTTCCAATCTTTGTTTTTAGGCGATTCGCAGATTTTCTGTACGGTCGATTGAACAATTGTGATTCCCATTTGTTCAGTGCTTTTCCAAAAGTTAAAATGATTTTTCAACGTTTAAAAGTCTTCATTGTTTTCTTATGAAGGATTATAGAAAATTAAATGGTTTCTTCCAATTTTACTTTTTTCTCGAGGGTAATATAATTTTAAAGCAAAGACCTTATATTACAGCAATCGCGGACTTTGTAACTAATTTGGAAACAATTCGGACCAATTTCCAAAGCTGCCCGAGGACAGTGTCCCTTAATTTTGAACAACATCTACAACTTTTGTGCGGAATTTATTTCGACTTAACTCTCCCAGCTTTTGGTGGTGTTTTGGCTTTCTTTCACGAAGACTGAACTAAATATTCATCTCGCCATAATTTTCCAAAAGTCATCTAAATTTTTTTCTGTCCCCCTTTTTTCCATAAACTTTGTAAAACGTTTGCTAGAACTTTAACGTTGTACAT